TCAGCACATCACTTCTAACGTTTTCCAGACCCTCCTCTACAAGTTCAAGCCTCTGGTCACTTCCTTCTGCTTTTTGCTCATTCTGCTCCACCCTCTCTGCTATTGCATCAACATAATCCGCCAAACCTTTAAAGGCAACTGCCACATTAGAACAATAATCATCTTGCTTGTGCGCCAAATCATCTTGTTTCTGTGCAAGATCATCTTGTTTCTGTGCCAAATCATCTTGCTTCTGTAATAATTGGTCAAATCTGTTTTGTATTTTAACGTCCATTTCTTGAAGCATCTCCGTCATTTGCTTAATAGTTGTGGCCATCAGATCCTGCGTTTCTTTACCAGAGGGCGGTGAAGACGAAGATGGAGGGTGTGACGAGTGGGAAGTTTTTGAAGTTGACTGAGGTGTCTGAGCCATCGAAGATGTATATTTTACAATCGAGGGCGCAGTCTTTTTCGAAGCCATGTTTAAAATATAATCCAATTTATTAAGGAGTCTTATGAGAAATTCAGCCAAAGCATGTAATGCGCCGGTTAGAAATAGAAAAAGTTCAAACCGGAAGTCACTTTCACTTCTTGCTGAAAAGTATCAAATCATCGCCATTTTAAGTTCACTTTCCACATTCCAAGCCAAGTACGAGAAGAATATATTATCCGAGTTAGAGTATAGTCCAAAAGTTAAGAAACAGACTTCCAGGGTCGGTTCGTCTGCTTTATACGAAACTCACAGTTGTCTTTAAGTCGCAGCGGTGACGGCAGCTTCTAGCTTCGCTTATAGCGAAGATGTCCTGGATCGCGGAGAATCCCGAGGCTCCGGAGGAGTTCTCACCTACATCGTCCACAGGGGAAGACTCGGGGACTCAACTCCTACCTCGGGCAGCTCACCTTTCCCCCTATGCCCAGGGGAAAGGTATCAAGCCGTTTGACAGCTGATGCAGGCTGTCAAAACGGCTTTTACGCAGAAACAGGCGGGAGCAGCAAACAGCTGCATCCAGCGAAGGCGCCTGCCACCGGAAGTCTCCCAAGTGCCTGATTTTTGATGATGTGACCATGGGGATGCTGCAACAGTCATAAGTGTGTGTCCTGGTCATAAGGGGTTTTATATGGGGTATTTTAGAGCAGGCTTTTTATTCAAATATTTATTGTGATTTTATTATTGCCTGTTCACCGCCCTGAGTCCCATAAGGGAGATAGGGCGGTATATAAATTTAAATAATAAATAAATAAATAAATAAGTCATTTTTTTCAGTACCTTTGTCATTTTGAATGGTTGCTAAACAAGTCGAGGACTATCTGTACCTACAGATGGGACTATGTGTGTGTCTGTGTACAAGGTGGAGGTAATACAGGTAGTCCTCAACTTACAGCAGTTACTTAGTGACTGTTCAAAGTTACAACAGTACTGAAAAATGTGAGTTATGACCTTTTTTCATATTTATGACCGTTGCAACATTCCCCTGGTCATGTGATCAAAATTCAGATGGTTGCCAACTGACTCATATGATCACCTTTTTTGTGACCATCTGACAAGCAAAGTCAATGGGGAAGCCAGATTCACTTAACAACTGTGTTACTAATTTTAAGAACTGCAGTGATTCACTTGGCAAGAAAGGTCATAAAATGGGGCAGAATTCACTTAACAAATGTCTCACTTGCCAACAGAAATTTTGGACTCAATTGTGATTGTAAGTCGAGGAATATCCTGAATTTAGGAACAAGTCCAAAGAATCAGTAACTCAGAACCAAATAAGAGCAGGTCATTTCATTCTTCTACTATGCCCCATGAAATATCCTGTGCCTCTCAGCTGATTTACAGCTGATGCTCTAAAATTCATTTTGGAATGACTGCATTAGTGGCTTTAATTTTCTCTGTCTCTTTATTATTATTTTTTAAATCTTATCAGCATGTAGCATCATGCTGAAACACAAGGAATCTTGATATGCTTGTATACTTGGTTGGTTATGTATGTATCAGATCTAAGATTTTTTTTTCCCCAGCTAAAGAGTTGAAAAATTTTGAGCAGCATTATTTGAGCTCCTGAGTAGAATTGCCTGTGATTCATGTTGTACTAAGTAGATTATTCCCTATTTTCATGAATCACAGACTCCCTGCTACAAAACAATGTAAGCCAGTTGTTAGCAACTACTGGATTGAGGCCCAACTATGAGTCATATTGTAAAGATGAGGCAACCTCATCTTAACTTAATGAAGGGGTAGAATTTTAGGGCAGAAGTTCAGCTGAATAGATTTACCTCATTTTGAAGTAAAGTATTGTTTGCCTAGTTCAATGCAACTGATTGAAATTTGGGACTCTTGCCTGTTCCTTTGCCCCTAGAACAATATTTCCTGATCATGAACCCTTCCCAGAATTCTGTAACTAGCTTGATCATTTCTCAGAATTCTGGGATTTGAGGTCCATGCATCTCTGGGAAACACTAAGCAAGAGTATGGGCAATCAAGCTCCAGAGAGTTTTTGAATGTCATTCTTAGGGTGACTGCTTTAAAAAAAACCTGAATACAATAGAGATAAAAAATTGATTTAATTTCTTAACATTGAACCTAAATCTGGCTAATAAGATTATTCTCTTATTATGTATATTTCACCTTGATAAAAAATGTCATTTGAGGAGGTTTCTGGGATTAAATCCAAGGATTTCGGGAGGTGTGAATGGTTTAGTGCAGGGTTCCCCAAACTTGGCACTTTAACACACATGGACTTCAACTCCCAGAATTCCCCAGCCAACAGCTGACTGGGGAATTCTGTGAGTTGAAATCCACACATCGTAAAGTTGCCAAGGTTGAGAAACCCAGACTTAGTGTATCTTTATCCTAGAATAAAAAGCAAGCAGATGGACATCTGATGCCTCTATCAGATTCCAAGTTATGTTTCATCCTGGAAAACAGCTGATTCAAGACTTCTGGCTTTAGCAAACTTGACAAGAAGAGAACTAATTACAAGGCTTCTCTAGTTACAGGAAGGACACTTGATGGTCCAGCACTTTCAGTACCTGCGGTGGTCAGCCTACAGAGATATTCCAGACTCGAAAAAGTCTTTCCTGAATTTATTAGCCCAAGTAGAGAAGTGGCAAGGAGAGAGTGGCAATGGCAGGACCATTGTCCATTGTTTGTAAGTATTACTTGGATTAAGCGGGAAGAGGGCAGAATTGGAGAATCAATGTTTCTCAAGTGAGGGAGGTGGTATTTGTTTCTCCAAGTCAGTTCTGCACTGTTGTCTGCCTTATTAGCAACATAACGCAAATAGGATCATGAGGTTCTATGGATTGTAACTCTTCATAGGCAAAGAATCTACGTGGAAATAGTTGAAATAGCACGTTGGATAAGGGTCCACTTGGAAACCTTGTGCTTGTAGTTACTAATATCAGTGTTTCTTATACAAGAAAGATTAAGATCTGTCAAGAACATAAGCCCTACTGTGAACTTGCTATTATATCGTGGTTAATAAGCAGAAATTAATCCCAAACCTCTTGATTCGCATATAATGAAAACTGTGGTTTAAATAAGCCACACTTTCAGCATGGGTGCTTATACAAGGAAGAGGAACAGGGCAAATCCAACACAGTCCTAGGCTGCATTAACAGAGGGATAGAATCAAGATCATGTGAAGTGTTAATACCACTTTATAATGCCTTGGTAAGACATGAAATACTTCACCCAGTTTTGGTTGCTATGATGTAAAAAAATGTTGAGACTCTAGAAAAAAGTGCAGAGAAGAGCAACAAAGATGATTAGAGGACTGGAGGCTAAAATATATGAAGAACGGTTGCAGGAATTGGGTATGTCTAGTTTAATGAAAAGAAGGACTAGGGGTAGCATGACAGCCTATAAGGGGCTGGCACAAAGAAGAGGGAATCAATCTATTCTCCAAAGCACCTGAAGGCAGGACAAGAAACAACTAATGGCAACTAATCAGGGAAAGAAGCAAACCTAGAACCAAGGAGGAATTTCCTGACAGTTAGAACAATTAATCAGGGGAATAACTTGCCTCCAGAAGTTGTGGGTGCCCCAACACTGGAGGTTTTTAAGAAGAAATTGGACAACCATTTGTCTGAAATGGTATAGGGTGTCCTGCCTGAGCATCGGGTTGGACTAGAAGATCTCCAAGGTCCCTTCCAACTCTGTTATTGTGTTAAAACATGGGCCTAAGGCATGTTCTTGAAAGCTATAGACTAATGATTCAAATTTGTTATTTTTAACCAGATCAGAGGATCCTAAGTATCCTGTACAAGTGTTCATTAAACACATGGGTACAATTAAATCGAGAGGAAATGTAACCTTATGGATTGAAGCCTTTCTCCTCAGTATCCCTATACACCCCATTAACTGAACTTTTCACAGGCTCTGCCCAGAAATCTGAAAAGCTGCTCGAAGTCACAGGGCTATGCAATGTGTAAAAAAGCAGGTTGTAGTTTCATCTAAGTAAACACCTGCAGCCAGGGATCAAAAGCAGCCAAAACTGATTTGAAAAGATATCTTAGGAAAAACACAATTGCTGTGTTACTATTCAGCTGTTGATTTTTGGTTCAACAACATCCAAACTCCAAGAGAACAAGCAAGCTTCCAAGTTGAGAAGGGCATCCAGCAGCGAAACAGCCAAATTAAGGTTGTGTATTAGTCTAAAGATAATTTGGCAGCATGTCTGCAAATTCCAGAGGGTAAGGGATTGAGGAAAGAAAGGAGGAGAAAATAGGAGGCTTTGGCTTATAAACAGCCATCTTGTATACATCTGGCTAATTTGATTATATCAAGTGTGAAGGATTTATTAGCTCTGAAGGGAATCCATGCCCAGAAGAATTCACAGCGTAAGCTGGCAACATGCCCGTACGCTGCTGGGAGAGAAACTAATTTTGCTTGGGTCACACCAGTTTACACAAAGCCAAACAGGTGCTTGAGTAGGAGCATTTGAAGTGGCTTAATCTTATACTGAGAGTTTGAGACAGTGACAATATCACACACAGGTGTTTGGTTTGATTGATTTGGGAGTTGTCATTCTAAATGCCTATCTTTCCACTGTCAAAATAACATTCTGGAATAGAAGAGCTTTGTGATCAGATCCAGAAAAAGGCAACCAAGTTTCCTTTTGAGATTAGCTTCAATACTGGATGAAATGCAATAGCAGTAGAGAGAGGCTATCCAAAATGTTTTCTGACCTATTTTCCGGATCAGAAAACAACAAAGAGTATTACAAGAAGAAAGAAAAGAAAGAATTTGATAACCAAAGATCTGAAGAATGCTCAGGTTGGAAATGACCGTATTAAATAATAACTTTGCCTCAAACCCAAACATGAGATCTCAACTTGTGTATAGAACATCCCAAACAACATTTTGATATTTGAAGGTTGTTTCCATCCTATCCACTTAAAATAGGTGAAAAATTTGGCCCAGTGCAAATAATAATACAGTGTTGGTATTTATGCAATACTTTTCCTGAAAGGTTAATATGCTGCATGACCACAACTGTGTAATAGTGCTTGCAGCTATTATCTTCATTAACAAGTTTCTCACCATTGCATAGTATAACTGTTTCCTTCCCCTCTATTTTTTTAATTATCTTTAAACTCTTGTGTGTTTAAGCACTCAATTGAATCTTGCTCAGCAATTTAATCTCTTACTAAGGGTTATTTCTCAGATATTGCCACCAGCCATCATATTCAATCAGAAACAGGCAATCTAGGGCCCTTTGTTGAAAGCTTAACTCAGTTATACATCACCCGGAAAGAAACACATCATTTTCTGAAAAAGTGTGCAATCTGACGGTCTATTCTGCCTCTTGTGGGAAGCATAAAAATAAATATTGAACTAATTTCCAGTTCATTTCCATACCAGTTCATTATTATTCCTCTTGAGCAAAACAAAATGGACAAGAGATTGCTTGTGCACCTTTTGCTTATTTACTGGATTTATAGCGTGCCCTGTCTACCTGTAAATAACTTGCATAGAGATTAAGAGAAAAATGCCAAATATAAAAAGAAATGATTACTTTAAAAAAAATATATCATAGCATAACTCCAGCAACATCAGTAGAAAGTCATCAGTTAAACCAATTAATATCTAGGATGAAGTGATATATCTTGTTGCTTTTTCTAAAGTCAAAGACAGTGAGAATCGATTGTAATTCCTTTGTGTGTTCCACACTTTGAAGACAATAATAAAAGAATGAGTTCTTTACTGTTTGCTGAACAAAAGTATCTGTAAGCTGGGCAGTATTTGACTAAAGCATCATTTTACAAAGTTACCTATGATGAGAGCCCTTTGTTAAAGCTTCCAAACAAAATGGTTTTCAAGGGTCAGATAAATCATACTAAACACGATACACGAATGCCACAAATTCTACATCTTTTCTCAACTCAGTTCATTTCAGCAACATGCCTTGTGAGTAGCATCAACCCATCTTTTAATTTAATCTTTCTGAAGCGATCTGGATAATGATATGGAAGAACTGGACACATTATCTTTGTTTTACTGTATTTGCTTGTTCTCTCCCTAATGCTAGGCCTAATATGGACTACTGCTCTACTGTTCTTATTAGGCTCCTTTTAGATGCTTTCTTCATGTGTCTAATTTCTTCTTTAGGAATGGAGGTGGACGGAGTGGTACCTTCTGCGCCTGCACCATGATCCTGGAGATGATCAGGTGCCACAAGCTGGTGGATGTTTTCTTTGCCGCAAAGACTCTTCGCAACTATAAGCCAAATATGGTTGAGACCTTTGTAAGTAGCGGGTAATATTTATTTGACCTACTTTTCTTAAAGAGTGTTATGGTATTTCTTCAAGAAATTATGGAACTTGCTCCTGTAAAATGTGACAATTACTTACGAAAACAGAAGGTGGATTGGGAGCATTTTTCAACTATCAAAATATTGTCCATACTCAGAAGTTTATACCAATTACTGTGAACCTTTGATATGGAAATTCTGTGGAATCATCACAGCTGGTAGAATTCATCATGCCACTAAATTCAAATAAAACAGTAGAAATTTCCATTCATGTCATGCTTAGAATTGTCTGGAAAGAAATTGGTTGCCCTTTTGAAGAACAAAGAGCTACTATAGATTGATGTTTAGTCTGATCCCTGGTGCCAGACGGTATAAGCTTTTTGGTCTGATGAAATGATATGCAACCAATATCTGGTTTTCCCACCTCTATGCTTTGTGTGTTCTGAAAATGAAAATAAAGTAGGTTTTTAATGTGTCACATTCACAAATGCATAAATACATAAATGAACACTACTAGTAGTGTAACATTTGCTGCCTACATTTTGTTGTTTTTTGGTTGCTAAGTCATCTCCTACTCTTCACAACCCCATGGACCATAGCACGCCAGGCACCCTGTCTTCCACTGCTTCTGGAGTTTGCCTAAATTCATGTTCATTGTGTTCGTGAATCTATCTAACCATCTCATTATCTGGCATCCCCTTCTCCTTTTGCCTTTCCATCTTTCCTAACATCAGGGTCTTTTCCAAGGAGTCTTCTCTTCTCATTTGGTGGCCAAAGTATTTGAACTTCAGCTTCAGTATCTGTTGTTCCAAAAAACGACACACACCCACATGCACGCAAGGATGCAGAAAAGGAAATAACTCCAACCAAGGAAACGGGCAGAAAGTCCTGGCGTTTCTACGAAGCAGCAGTAGCAGCAGCAAATCAGGGCTTCCTAGTTCCTGGCTCCGAGCAGCCCCGGCACAAAGAGGCCTTTCCTCTTAGGCAGCCCTTGGAAAAATGCACTTTCTTTCTGTCTTCCCCCTCCCTCCTTTCGTGGCCCCAGCGGGAAGAGGGAAGGGGAAAGCCACCCTCTTCCCTCCCCTCGCAAGAGCCCGGTTCGCCAGCGACTAGAACCTGAGAGGGAACCCGTGACAAGTGCTCCCGCGGCAGCCAAACCCTTTCGCCCTCATGCACCCTCACACACTCGTAACCCTGCCCTGTTTCCTCCACCCCACTGGGGAGTTCAGCTGCCCGTCTGCCCGGCTCTTTCTCCGCCCTCCGGGTGAAGGGAGCCTGGCCGCGAAGGCTTTGTGCAGGGNTGGAGTTGCGGGTGTGCTGAAGGAGAGGGGCCCGGCAGAAGGTTCTCTGCGCCCCTCCTGCACCGCCATGTTGCCAGGGAAGGAGAGGAGAGAAAAGAATGGGAGAGGGGACAGGAGAGGGGGAGAAAGGGGGGTAGAAGAAAGAAAAGGAAAGGAAAGAAAAAGAAACTTTGCTTCTTGCGCGGAGCTGGCAATCGCGGAGCAAGACGCCCGTTCGGTGCGGCGGCAGGCAGGCCCAGGTGCTCCTGGGCGGCCATGGCAAGCGGCAGCAACGGCGCAGGCTGACCACCGGCTGGGCCACCAGCTGGCCCAGCCCAAGGGAGGTAAGCCACCCACCGGGCCCCACGCGCGCCAGCTACCTGGCGCGCGACCCCCAGGGGGAGAGCCTTCTCTGTCGGAGCACCCACCCTCTGGAACGAGCTGCCCCCAGAGATCCGGGTGATTCCGGATCTCCCCTCCTTCCGCCGCGCCCTCAAGACTTGGTTATTTCAGCGGGCAGGACTGGCCTAGGGGTATTTTAAATTGGTTTTAACAAAAAAATTTAGTAGAAGCGGCCTAGTTAAATATTTATTTTTAATCACTTTTAAATTTTGTATTGTATTGTATTATTGTTTTTAAACTGGCTGTAAGCCGCCCTGAGTCCTCCGGGAGAAGGGCGGGGTATAAATTTAATAAAACTAAAACTAAACTAAAACTACCTTCCCAGCGCCCACCGCTGCCCTGCTAGCCTCACCTTGGCCACCGCCCGTTCGGTGCGGCGGCAGGCAGGCCCAGGCGCTCCTGGGCGGCCCTCCCACCCCTGGCCCTCTTTTACTCACATTTAATAGTTGCTCAGCAGGGAGTTGTGGAAACTTCCAGAAAGCTCGCCTTAGCTGCAGACAACTTGCAGCAAAGTGTGCCAACTGGGACCTTTGGCGGGCTCAGCAGGGCAGAGACAGCCTGGACAATTCCTATTGGCTTTTGAAAGCCAATAGAATTAGACTCTATTCAAGAGAGTCTATTCTATTGGCGTTCGAAAGAATAAGAGGGAGTAGCACAGCTCATGAAAAAGGGGAAAAAAAAAAAAAAAAAAAAATGCCAGACTGCGTTTCATAAGGATTCTATGAGGAAAAACTCCAGATAGATAGATAGATAGATAGATAATTTAATTTGTATACCGCCCTTCTCCCATAGGACTCAGGGCGGTTCACAGCATATTAAAAACAAATAATATACACACAATACAAAAAATGCAAAATACAAAAATACAGAAATACAAAAAATAAACCCCGATAAAAGCCGAATTAAAACCAAATATTACCAGCTGTGTTTCCAA